GGTTCGCGGCGAGCTCGCTTGCTATTAGGGTTCCCCCTTAATCTGCTCCAGTTGGCCTCTATGGCGTTCGTATGCCGTCCCGTTGTGGGATTCACGAAGCCCCTACGGCGGTTCACAGTGCAGTGCCTACAACCTTCGGACGGTAGGCGGGTGCAACCCTTCAACTCATCGGTTACGATAACACTACCAGCAGCCACCCACTTCCTTATGACGGGCCTCATGGACTCCCAGCTGCGGTTGTTAATCTGCTCAAATAGGGCTTTCCGTCTGCGTGTATCGTACACATATGACCCAGAACTGCCGCCGCGGTCGTCCCCTGTTATATTTGCCGCGACTTATGAGCGTCTCGTCTACCTGTACTTCCACGCCTGGTCCCCCAATTTGGGTTACGGCGGATAAATTTAAACTTAAAAGGGTTACGTAGGCCTACAAGCTGTTCTCACCATGGATACTTGCAAATCCCGTAAAACAGCGACCGCCAAGGTCGGGAGTTTGCCGACCTGCTGTAGGCTGGTGCGGTGGCGTTGGAGTACGTCCAGGTATCCTAAACATTGTTCACGTTATGCGTACTAAACGGTGCATGCCGTGCAGATCACCGATATAACAAATAGGGAGGGGTTGAGGAGGGGGTCAGTAAGGGGCCGGGAAGTGATGCAATTGTCATAAGCACTTTATACAAATACTCTTACCCAACCGCAGTACACCGCTGACCGCCCGCGTCCCCTTTACGCATCGTATGCATCGTGCCTATCTAACGCACACCACTTTCAAGTGCGGCGCCAATGATCCCATTGGTTAGCTGCTTGGCGGTTCAGGTTTACTCGCCCCGGCGGCCAATCACATCACGTCCCCGGCCAGCCCTCCTTCGATTGGTCATTGCCTACGGTTTTCCCTATTTGCGCGCCATCCTCCCCCTATTTTTGACTTCATTAAAACAAATATTTATTTTCCTTCGATTTTCAACATTTTTCGGCTTCCAACTGCCAATTTAGTGCCCTTTGCCGTTTGCCCCGCCCGTTCTTCCCCTCAAAACCGCCATCCCGTTGTACCCGACCCACCTAGAGAGGATTTCTCACTGTGGCTGCCTGTTGGGCTTCTGCCACAGTGTCGCAAACATAGAAGGTGCGACCAGAGCCGGAGGTGCCAGAGAAAACGGTCGCATCTATTCTCTGGCTGACTGGTTTCCCTGTTTTGGCTTAAAAGAGCAAGGTGAGGAACAGCGACGGGCCTTTACGCCGAAATTAGTGTGGTACCAGCAAGTATCAGCAGTCCGAGGTCGCGAACGAGAACGACGACGACTGCGTGAGCGACTGGAAGTTAGGCGGGCGAGCTGTATTTGAAGAGAGGCCATCTCATCTGCCATGGCCGACACCTGTTTTAGTAAATGCTCATTCACTGACGATGAGGATGAGATCTGGGCAACGGAAGGTGACTGGAATCGTTGCACCTCTATCATTCGATCCGCCATCTCAGCCAACTGTGACACTGTGAGATCCTGAGAGCCGGACGCCAGGATCGTTTGAACATCTGTGGGCAGGCGCTCCAGGAACATCTCCTTGACAAATTTATCATCAACTTGCATGTCTCCAAGGAGACAACGCATCCGACGTAGAAGCTCTGAGGGCTTCCGGTCACCCAATGACTCCTCCTTAATTAACTGGTGATACCTCTGTCGGTCAGACACAGAATTAAGTCGGAGGATTTCTGCCTTTAACGCGGAGAAGGGAGCATCTGCAGGAGGATTAGCTAGCAAGGACTGAACTTGAGAGATGACACTAGCGGGGAGGACCTCCACGAGTTTGTGGTATTTTGCTAGCTCCTTGGTAACGTTGGCAGAATAAAAGGCTGATTCTGTGCGGATGAAGTAAAGTTCTGGAGCGTGTTGCCAGAATTCAGGCAAAGTAAAATTGATTGCATGAAGGGACTGGGCGGGGGCATCAAGTTGTTGATCGGAGTGAGACATAATAAGACAGAGATGTCAAAATATCAGAATTCGTGAGGAAAGTAAATGTAAATGAAATAGATATTCACAAGCAAATAGTACGATAAATGTTATCCAGTATGACAGAAAGCTATAAAGTCTGCGTAAACGTCGGGAGTCACCAATGTCGTATCTCGTCACATTAAAACAAGCAATGCGGTCAAAGGAAATGGGACTAAATTGTCAAAGGTAAATTAGTCAGGTACCTCACCACAGTTTTTTTTTGAATAATATAGAGATTTTTGAACGTTAAGAAAAACTGACAACAGAATACCACAGCAGAGCACGCTAGCAAGGCGGGTTGTACAGGTGTGTCGTATCTCGTCACATTCAAACAAGCAATGCGGTCAAAGGAAATGGGACTAAATTGTCAAAGGTAAATTAGTCAGGTACCTCACCACAGTTCTACGTAAGGACGTAAGATTTTGCGAAATCACTAACCATTTTTTCCAACAGTCACATACGCAATTTCGAGCGGAACATATTTCCTACGGAAAAAACAGATTCCCGAAGATCTCTAGGGAAAAGGAATTCGTGTCTCATCGACATCGATGACTACTTTAAGAAATGTGTGCTCTTAATGCCCGCTTATCGCGTACTCTGATCAGCCTGGATACACGGAGCCACAGAGTACTGTTCCAGTTAATCCGTTAACTCAATCATCCAAAACATTAAAAAAATGTTCAGAGCCACGTCCTGTCGCAATAAAGAAAAAAAATAAAAGCAACGATATGCGTTAAGTCTGCTCGGCCGCCAACCCATACAACTTGCTTTGTCAGTCTGAGTGGTTGAGACGCATGGAGTGTTCTGAGGATTTACTGATTAACGCGACCTTGAGTCACACAATGACGCAATGCAGACCACCTTGGTGAACTTAAGGTTACACGAAAGTCTCATTATCTATCCAGATTCCGGCTCTCAACAAAACCTCAATCTGACTTGCAAAGATTGACTAATCAGGGCACCCCACGGATCAAAACCCAGAA